TCCCCCCCTTCTTAGTCCCCTTTGAACTTTTAACCACATCTTGCTAGTTATCCTATTTTTACAATAATGGTCTTATGCAGTGTTTGTCCTTATGACACTGAGCTAGTTAAATCAGCATAATTCTCTCTATCCTCACCCATGTTCCTGAGTAATGCGTAGTATTTTGTTGTGTGAATGTACCACTATTTCTCTATCTATTTGTTTTTAGATGGATATTTGGGTTGATTCCATGTTCTTGCTATTGTTAATCGTGATGCTATGAACATCAGTACCCAAATCTCCATTTGTTTGTCAATTCTATAATCCTTGCAGTATATTCCTGGCAGTGGAATAGTTGGGTTATATGGAACTTCTATGTTCAGCTTTTTAAGGAAATGCCAAACTGACTTCTAGAGTGGTCATACCAGTTCACAAACCCACCATAGTGTATGAGAGCTCTAATCTCTTCACATCCTCTCCAACATTTATTACTTACCATCCTATTCAACTCTCCTGCTACTACAGGCATGAGATGGCATCTTGTGGTTTTGATTTCCATCTCCCTTATTTTCAGTGATTTAGGGAATTTTTCAATATGTCTGCTGAACATCTGAATGTCTTCTTTCGTGAAAAATCTCTGTATATCTTTGGCCAATATTTCAGTTGTGTTATCGGTCTTCTTCTTGTGGTATTCTGTGAACATTAGTTATGAATCCCTTGTCTGAGATGTCATTGGTGAATGTTTTTTGCCCAGCTAGTAAGTTTTCTTTTCACCATATTGTAAAAATTTTGTTATGCATACATAATCTTTAGATGATCCCATTCATTGAAGTTATCCTCTCCTTGGTGTGCATTTCTGATTGGTAGAATGACAGACATGTAGACCAATGAAATAGAACTGAGGACACAGAAATTAACTTATTCGTCTACATGAACTGTTATCCTACAAAGAAAAAAAACCTATCAAGTGGGAAGATGACAACATCTTCAACAAATAAGACTGGCAAAACTGTACTTCTATTTGCAGAAAGGTGAAACAGTATCCACAGAAAAATCAACTTATAGTGATCAGAGACATAAGGATGAGGCTGAAAACAATAAGGAACACAAGAGACAACATGTGACCAAACTAAGAAGGATTAGCCTATGGTTGTTTTTGCTTTTATTATGTGCTATCGAGTCAAATGTTACTCATAGTGACCCTATGTACAACAGCCCTAAACCCAGCTCTATCCAGTGCCAATCTCATTGTCTCTGAAACATCTACCCCATTACCCCAGTCACTGAATCAAGCCATGTCATTGATGGTCTTCTTCTCCTGTACTGTCCCTCCACCCTTCCAAGTATGGTGTTCCTCTCCAAGGACTGGTACTTCCTTGAAACACGTCCAAAATATGTCAGACAAAACATCAGAATCCTTGCCTCCAAGGAGCAGCCTCATCTCAACTTCTCCAGGATAAACCTGTTTGTTCTCTTAGCAGTCCATGTTACATTTATTCAATACTCTTTTCCAACACCACAGCTCAAAGATAACAATTCTCCTATTATCCCTAGTCATTGTCCAGCTTTCTGATGCAAAGCAAGTGATTGCAGAGACAATGGCCTGTATCAGGCATACCTTAGTCTCCAGACGGACATCATTACTCTTCAGAACATATTATTTGGGAGTCTGGGCTCTATGAGGAGAAATATGGCATCAGGATTGGAGAAAGACTCATCAACAATCTGTGTTATGCAGATGACACAACCCTGCTTGTCAAAACTGAGGGGACCTGAAGTGCTTGCTGCAGAAGGTCAAGGACTGCAACCATCAGTATGGATTGAAGCGCAATATCAAGAAAACAAATATTCTTATCCCTGGGTAGATTAGCAGTATCATGTTGGATGGTGAAGAGACTGACATGGTTAACAGCCTTAGTTTGGCTCCACAATCAACACTCTTGGCACCACTAGCCAGGAAGTTTAAAGCCTATAGTATATTTATTTTTATTGATTGCCTAATGGCTGTGGGAGCACTTGTGGCCTAGTGGCAAGAAGCTTTGCTGCAATCCTGAAGGCACACAGTTGGAATTCACCAGCTGCTCCATGGAAGAAGGATGGACAATCCCCTCTAGTGAGATAAACTTCCTTCGTAAACCCACTAGAGGGTCAGATATGGGTTAGTTCTAAGTCTTCAGTACGCAACAACAACAACACTGGGTATGGAGGTGTGCTGCCAACCCAAGGGTAGGTAGTTTGAATGCACTTTGCTGCTCCATGAACAAGATGGGCAATCTTCTCTCACATAGTTAACATCCTCTGAAAACCTATTGGAGGTACAGTTATGAGTCATTTCTGCAATGAGAGAGAAAGAATCAAAAATTCACTAAATGTCTACCTGCCTGATTATTTTATACCTACTTTTATTTATGTATTATTTATTTATACTTTTTATAGCATGTAAGTGGCACATAACCTCATGATACGGCCTAATTAGAAAATAGACTCAGTAAAATGTTATTAATTAATATCACCTTAGATTTGGAGAGTGCTTAGAAATCAACTTATTTTGAAATTTCATAAAAAATTTATTTTATTCATTTATTTTTTGTTTGCTTTTTTTTAAATACTGATTTACTTGCAAAGGTTGTATGCATTGTTTTTTACACTGGATTTTTCCCCTTTCCTTTAATTACCAAAAAGAATTTTTTAATAAAACTATTAAATTCATGGTATTATCTCAAAATTAATCATTTTATGACTCATGTTTTAATAAGAAAAGAAGAGATACAGAGACAGATAGGAGAGAGCCATTTGAAAATAGATAAACAGGTACTGGAGTTATTTTTCGTCAAAACAAGGAATGCCTGGGCTACTCGTGACTAAAAAAAAGTAGGGTATTGCATAGTTAACTGAAAGGCTAAGCCTCTCTGGCAGTTCGAATTCAATGGCTTGCTCTGTAGGAGAAAGATAGACAAATTTCTTTCCAAATTATTTATAGGTGAAAATTCTCATTTTAATAGAGTTGTTGCTATTAGGTGCCATCAAATTGAGTATGACATATAGCAGCCCTATGAACAAAATATTTGAGCCTTGTTCTGTTCTGTGTCATCCACACAATCTCTGACACACTTAAACCCATAGTTGCAGTCACTGTGTCAGTCCTCCTGGTTGAGGGTCGTCCTTTCCTTCACCATCCCACCACCTTTCCAAATAGGATGTCCCTCTCCAAGTAATAGCCTCTCCTAACAACATGCCCAAAACATGCGAGACGAAGTTTTATCATGATTGTCTATAAGGATCAATCACTATGGCTGCACTTTCTCCAAAATACATGTGTGTGTTTTTTGGCAGTCCATGGGATATTCAGTACTTTTCTCTAATACCACAAATCAAAGACACCCTCTTCTGTCATCCTTATTCATTGTCCAGTTCTCAGATGTGTAACAAGTGATTGGAAATAATAGGTCATGAATCAGGCACACCTTAGTCCTCAAACTGATATTATTACTCCTTAATAATTTGGAAATTGGAAGGAGGAGTGGCATCCACTTCCATAATAGTTTGCCTCCGGAAACCCTATGAACCTGGAGAGAGGATGAAAGGCATCCAAGCATAGAGGACTCTCCTTCATAGGGCCGCTATGAGTCGCCTGTGACTCGACGGCACTTAACAACAACAACAGTGATTTGGACAAACACCTGTCTGTCTTGCCAGTATTTTGAATTTTCTTAAAATTTCTAGAACTACAAAATGATAGCATCTCTTCTAAGCTATTTTCTGTGCAATAATTTGTTAAGGCAGTTAAGGAAACTAGATTGTTGATAAATATTTTGAGTGAAAGGATAAATAGACTGAAGTTACTTGAAACCTCTGAAAAATACGAAAATTGCTTTCCTTGAACTAATTTTCTTTATTTCTATAACGGCCATTATAGATGTACAGACTCACTTATTAGTTTAATTGGAATGATAATATCAGGATGTATTATTACTGATTTTTGGTAAATAATCTCTATATTATTTGTTTTACTTTGTGTCTTAAAAACTTTCAAAGATATTTTGCCTTTTCTACATGTATATAGAATAATACTCTTTTTATCCATTAATTTATTGGTGTAATGAATTTTACAATACTTGATCATAAAGTATTTTCTATTCTTTGTTTACATTGCTAGATTGCCTTCAGTAATATCTTTAAAATTTTAAACTTTATTCAAAGTTGATATTGGTCTGTGGTTTTTCTCATTAGACCAAGTGGAGTATCGAGTATAATTGTAATTGTAGTCAGACAAGATATTTTTGCCTTATTCTTTATCTCAATGAGTAGAACTTAGCATTTCACCATTAAATATGATAGAAATTTGTAGATGCAATTTACCAATTAATATTTTCAGTATACTATGTTAAAACAATTATATTGAAGGAACTCTGGTGGCCTAGTGGTAAGAAGCTGCACTCCAATCCCAAAGGCAGGCAGTTGAAATCTACCACCGGCTCCTTGGGAGAAGGCTGGGCAATTTCCTCTTGTGCAATTTACTGCCTCTGAAGACCTGCTGGAGGGTCAACTAGAAGTTGGTTCAGGCTCAGCAGCACCCAACAGTATAAAAGATTAAAACATAGCTATCTCCCATTGTATTTCTGTTGGAAAGTTCTGCTCTGATGGTATCTTTCCTAGCTGAAAAGTAAATGTTACTTTTCCACTGAGAAGAAACAAGGAATTATATATATCTTTATAGATAACTCAGTTGTATTCTCCTGCCCATTTTATTTTAAATTTCATAGCCAGACATAACTACAGGAATTGTTTGGAAATTTGTAACTCTGAAGACCCTCAGTTTTCAATTAACCCTTGATGAATGTTGATTAATAAACTTATATAATAATCAGATTATAAACAAATATTACATTAAATTTAACACTTGTTTTCCAAAGTATGTGTGCACTTGTGAGTAGTCTTCTCATTTTCAACTCACACCCTCTAAAAACACTAAAGAAAGTATTTTCCCTTCATTTTTTATAGACATTTGTTAATGTACAAAGCACATCATGAAAAACATACTAGGAGTTCTGAATCAAAATGGATTTACATATGCAAATGTGAAGATAATTTCCTTAAAGATATCTTTTTTAAACCTGAAACTAATATAAAGAAAGTATTTACACTTTCAAGTTATGTAAGTATAATCAAGCTTATCAACTTTTTTATTTAAGATACTGTAGTTATAATTTCTATAATACTAGTACCAATTTGTGGGAGAAGGAGGGGTAATATCCTCCAGTAAGATAAACTGCCTCTGCAAACCTACCTGAGGGTCACCTATGGACTGGTTCTGAGGTACACAATAACAACGTACCAATTTATTCACTCTCTTTTAATAGCTTTCTTTATGTTGTTGCTATTCAGGTTTTAATTTTCCTAATGATAGAAAATTATAGTAATATATTAAAAACACAATCCTAGTGATGCATTAATTTTACATTTACCACAATTATGTTATCATTTATGTTTATATATATATATTATATATGTGTGTGTGCATGTTTATTTATTGCCAATAGTTATTAATCAAAATATAAACATTTATGAGTGAAAAAATAAATATTTACTAAGGCTTCGTTATTCTACATAAAGCATAACATTTATTTTGTGTTTTATTCAAATCAGTTATTGCTTTGCGAACACAAGGGATAGAAAGAAACTTTCTGCATTTATTGGATGCCTACTGTCTACACTGTAATGTTTATTACATGTGGCATGTAATTTGCTTTTCACACATGGTAAAATAGGTATTTTAATTTTATTTTTATAAATAGGGAAAGTGAGGCACAATTAATGAACTAAGTATCTAAAGTCACATAGTCAATCAAGATAGATAGAATTTGACTCTCTTGCTGTTATGTACCATTGAGTCAAGAATGAATCATAGCAACCTTATCTGAACCCTGGCCTAGTCCACGCCATTGTCAATCTCTGACATACTTGAGCTTATTGTTGCAGTCACTATGTCAGTTCATATCTCACTGAGGGTCTTCCCTTCCTTCCCTGACTATCCATCTTGCAAGCATGATGTCCTTTTCCAAGGAATAGCTTCTTTTGACAACATTTCCAAAAGAGATGATATGAAGCTTTATCATATTTGCCTCCAAAGAACACTATGACTGAACTTTTTCCAAGACGTATCTGTTCTTTTAGCTGTCCCGGGGATTGTTGGTACTTTTCTCCAAAATAACAACTCAAGGACACCAATTCTTCTGTCATCCTTATTCATCGTCCAGCTCTCAGATGCATAGTGAGTGAAGACTAAGGGCACATTTTAGTGTTCAAACTGCCATCAGAGGTCTTTGGTAATGTGGAAAGGTCTCTGATAGCACACTTGCCCAATTCAGTATGTTTCTTGATATCCTGACTGCTGGTTTCAAAGATATTGCTTGTGGATACAAGTAAGGTGAAATCATTGGTAATTTCAATCTTTTCTTCATCTACCATAATACTGTTAGATGGATCTTGGCAGAAATCTGAGAATACCAGAAGAATGTCTATCAGTGCTTCATTGACTATGCAAAGGCTTTTGGCTGTATGGATCACAACAAGCTATGGCTGACTCTGAGAAGAATGGGAATCCCAGAACATTTGATTGTGCTTATGCAAAACCTATACTTGGACCAACAGGCCATTGTGAGAACAGAGCAGGGAGACACTGGATGGTTCAAAATCAAGAATGGGGTCCGTCAGGGATGTATTTTGTCTCCATACCTTTTCAATCTGTATGCAGAACAGATCATCTGAGACGCTGGGCTATACGAAGAGTAATGTGGCATCAGGATTGGTGGAAGAATTATCAACAACCTGCGTTATGCAGATGACACAACCCTGCGTGCTGAAACTGAGGAGGACCTGAAGCGCTTGCTGAAGAAGGTCAAGGACTGTAGTCTTCAGCATGGATTGAAGCTCAACATCAAGAAGACAAAGATTCTCACCACTGGGCCAATTGGCAGCATCAGTATGGATGGTGAAGAGACTAAGATGGTTAACAATTTTCGTTTACTTGGTTCCACAGCCAACAGTCTTGGTAACAACAGCCAGGAAATCAGGAAACAAATTGCATTGGGAAAGTCAGCTGTAAGGGACCTCTCAAGAGTACTGAAGAGCAATGATGTCAGGCTGGAGACTAAGGTGTGGCTGATATGGGATATAGTTTTCACAATTTCATGCTATGCATCAGAAAGCTGGACAGTAAATAGGGTTGATAGAAAGAGAATTGATGCCTTTGAGCTGTGGTGTTGGAGAAGAGTGTTGAATATACTGTGGACTGCTAGGAGAACAAACAGGTTTGTCTTGGAGAGGGTGAAGCTGGAATGCTTCTTGGAGTCAAGGATTCTGAAGCTTTGTCTGACATACCTTGGGCATTTTGCATGGAGGGACTGGTCCTTGGAGAGGGACATCATGTTTGGGAGACTGGAGGGACAGCACAGGAGAGGAAGACCCTCAATGAGATGGATCGATTCTGTGATTGGAGTGGTGGGAATGAGTGTGTTTGAGATGACGAGGTTGGCACAGGATAGAACGGCATTTAGGGTTCTTGTACATAGGATCGCTATGAGTCGCAAGCGACTCAATGGCATATAATAACAACAACCATAATATTACTCATCTGTCCAGGGGTGAGGATTTGACATTTCGTCTTATTTCAAAATTTGTGCTTTTCTATTTTTATTATTTTGTTTTGATTTGCATATTAGACAATGGCAAAAATTAACTGTATGACATAATTTTATTTAAGTGAAGCTTTCATATAAAAACTCCTATGTGAATAACCCTGTTTCAGAGCATCCTGGGTTATTAATGTGTCCATGATATTAGTGTCATTAGAAAGATTGACTGAAGAAGAACTGTCATTAATATGATTTTAATGTAAATGAAAACATGTGTTATATAGTTCAGGAATGTCTTCTAGCTCCAAAAATCTTTTAAAATGTGTTCACAGACCTAAAGTTGTTGTTGTTATATGTCGTTGAGTTGCCTGTGACTCATAGCGATAAGTAGTTTGTATGAATGTGTGTGTACTTGAATTTGTATATTTGTGTATATGTAGAGACCTAGTTGATTTTATTTATTGCATTTGAATTTAACAATTGTTGTTATGTTCCACCAAGCAGACAGTGACCCTATGCACAGTAACTCTGAACCCTGCTCTATCTTGAGCCAATCAAACTGTCTTTGAAACACCTACCATCATTGCCCCAGTTATTGTGTTAATCCATCTCATCCCATGTCTGCCTCTCCTGTGCTGTCTCTTTATCCTTCCAAGCATGATATACTTCTTCAAAGACTAGTCCTTCTTGAATACTTGCTCAATGTATGTGAGAGACAGTCTCAAAATCCTTGCCTCCAAGGAGCTGTTTGGTTTCACTCTTTCAAGAACAGACTTGTTAGTTCTGTTGTCTGTCCATATGTTCAATACTCTTCTCCAGTACCACAGCTCAAAGACATCAATTCTTTTTCTGTCATTCTTGGTCATTTTCCAACTCTCTGAGCCGTATCAAGTAATTGCAAATATCATTGCCTGAATCAGGCACATTTTAGTCTCTAGACCGACATCTTTGCTCTTTAACACTCTGGAGAGGTCCCTGACAGCGGATTTTCCTAATGCAATTTGTCTTTTGGTTCCTTGACTGCTAGTTCCAAGAGTGTGGATTGTGGAACCAACTAAGCTTAAATTGTTAACAATCTCAATCTCTTGGTGCTGCCAAGTTGGTGCAGTGTTGAGAATCTTAATTTTCTTGATGTTAAGCTTTAATCCATATTCCACACTAGAGTCTTTGACCCTTTGCAGCAAATACTTCAGGCCCTCCTCAGTTTCAGCAAGTAAATGTACATATATTTAATTTGCAGTTATATTTATACATATCTGATACATATGTTCACTGTGCTATAACAAGGACTGTCAGTGTGTATTTATGAGTAGGATAATTTATTTTTATTACAAGGTTTATTAATATCTATAAATTAATAATTCTTAGGACTTTGGTAGTATTTTGAATTCTATGAAATTTTTGGTAAGGTATTTTTAATTTTAACGAGTTTTCTGAAGCTCTTCTATGTTTACAATAATTCTTCTAATCATATCAATATTAATGTTAGTTTTCAAGACTATTCTTTTTTTTGACAGTTTCTTTTTTTTTTCTATATTTTATTAATTTTCATAA